GTGTGATTTGGCAGAAGAAACAATTTACACCATACGCCTCTCCTCAACATGTGGCCGTTGTGGTGAATTTGTTAAAAATTCAAATAATTTATTGCTGCAATATTCAATGGCTACCATGTCTTGGTTAAAATATTTCCAAAAATGTGGGGAAAAGTTACTGTCAAGGCAGAGTCTTGCTCAGAATTTTTTTTTTTTTTTAAAGAGTCCGTCTTTGTTTTAAAGACAGTGATGGGGGAGAAGGACAGGCTAGTGTTTGTTTTTTTATATTTTGCCGTTATGGACTGGGCAAAACCCCGTAAAAGGACAGAGATAGATTTATTTTTTAGAAAATATAAAAATAAATTATTTTTTAAAATTATTAATTAAAATAAATTAAATATTATTTAATGTGTAATGTTAATACATGTTAATAATTTATTTATTATTTAATTATTTTTAATAAAAATTTGATATATAATAATTTTACATATTAAATAATAGATAATTTATTTTGATTGACAATTTAAATGAGTAAAAATTTTTTTAAAGATAAATTTATCCTTAACTTCATATATGAAAGGGGAATTTGGAAATTTTACCTTATAGATTGTTAGGAATGAAAACAATTTTAAAAACATATAATTAATATATATTTTAATTCAATATACTTATTAATACTTATTAGTTCAATTATTAAATTTTATAATTAAAAGATGTTTTTTTGTCTTGAATTTAAATTTAAAAATAATAAATTTTAATAAATATATTATAAAGTGTGTTAAAATAAAAAAATACATTAATTATTATCTTTTTCAAAAATAGCATAGTGGCTGAGGAAAGGATTTTTGAGTTGGCACAGTTAAGATCTTTTCACTGGATTAAAGGAAAATCAGCTAGGTGCTCATTTACTTGCTCAGATAGGATGCTTGAACCAGCCAAGCGCTTGCATATGATGCTGAGGATGGGCTAAAAGGCAGCAAAAATAATTCTGCTTATATATTATAACTCTTGTATTTGCTTGAAAGGTTATTGTAATATGTTAGAGTGCTGCTTGTACTCTTATTAGCTATGAGAATTTCTTTGGTGTACAAAAACGGAAATTGCAAATCTAATATTTAAATGATGTTAAATGGTATAAGTATGTTCCTTTACGTGACAAATTTTTTTTGAAAATATTTTTTTTCCAAGAAGTAGAATATTTCAAATCTACCCTCGAGAAAGGACATTTGGTACTTGTTGCCGTGACAGAGGGTTGGTAAAGTGTATCGGGAAGACCCAGCCTTTGCCTGCTGATATCGAAGCGCCACATTAATGTGGTACTGTGGGAGTTGTTAGGTATATCATTCCCATTTTTCCCGACAGGCCAATCACCCACAGTTGCCACTCTTTTTTTTTTTTTTTTTTTTCTTTTTTTCGTTCTTTTTCAATGATATTTACTTTTTTTTTTAAATCTTGCATTTTATAATAAAATATAATTTTTATCTCATAATATATTTTATTTATATATAATATAATTTTAAATTCAGTATTTTTAATAAAAAATTATTATTATATTATTTAAATTATTTATAAAAATTAATAATTAATTTAAAATTAATTAATACTAACTAGGTATAGAAGTCCAACTTAGTTTTAAGCTTGCAGAAAACTCCCTGAGATAAGGGTTGTAGGATTTTTATGCTCAACACGTACCAATCAAATTTAAATTTGAACAGGGGGAGAAGGGGACAAAAAGGATTAAACTCTAGTTGTATGAAGAGATTATCCATATAATGACTACACGAGTTACACACCCAAGAAGGGCTGCGGGATTTTTGTACCGAACGCATACTGATAAAAAAATTCGATCACGTTTAACATTTGTGAAAACTATTAGAATACCTTGTATTATACATTACCTACCATTGATCTTATACTGATCTATTGGTCCAAAAATATCTCTTCCACGTTCTGAACATGACACATGACAAGCAAATGATGGGTCTTGATTCTTCTGGTC